TTTGGAGCAGGCAGTCAGGAGGGAGAAGTTTAGTCTTCATCAGCTGAGGCTGCCATATTGCCTCAAGGTCCAAAACACAGCCTGCTGAGAGAGTCTTCTGGCACTCATGATCACTTCCTGGAAGCCGAAGTTTGATTTCGGAAGTCGTGAGCTGTCAAGGGAACATGTGAGCCGAGGGCCGTGTGGGGCAGGCGTTGGAACTCGGGTCGAGGGCTCCGGAGAGAGGCTGGGGTGAGGGCTGAGGAAGCAGCCACCGCTAAGGCACAGAGGTGACAGCCGGAGGGCTCCACGCTAGTGCGGAACCCAAGGGGTGGAGAGCAGGAAGCAAGGTCAGAGCCTCGAGACTCTCATATGCAGTGGGCGGGAGGAACCAAAGCAGTCAGGAATGGCAGGGTGGGAACCAAGCCAAGGCAGCAGAGGGTGATAAACACTGTCCGGTGTTATGACAATGTCAAGGAAGATGAGGGTGGCAGTGTCAGCAGAGTCATGACCGGGAACTGGGAGAAGCGGCGCAGGCTGGGCTGCGGGGGGAGAGTGACTGGAGGGCACCGACGCTGGTTCCCTCTGCCTTCCATCTCCTCCTCACCCGTCTCACCTCTCACCTTAGCAAAGCCTGAAACAGGTGGCCCATACCTGTCACCACCGTCTCAACAACATCAGAGGGGGGCGACCCCGACACTTTCCAAATGAAAGACTAAAACCCAACACCTGTCACACATCTGCCTTCTTAGGACACTGGCAAAGTAGCCATCCTCTGACCTGCAGCTCAACAAGCCCGTGCCCCCCGAGGGCTGGGGGTGGCAGCTCCGTTCCCAGGGAAGTCCCCTTTCAGGTCACCCAGACCAGACCTCCCGGCTCATCGGCGAAGTCCTCCCGGCCAGAAGCTTCCATTTTCACTGCTGCTGCAGGCGAGTCAAACTCTGGATCGATTCAGTAGGAAAGTGTGAGTCGTAACAGGAACACGCTCAGGGCAAGCAGAGCGTGTGCGCGCGCACGCGTGTGCGTGTGTGAGTGACGTGTAGCACGTGACTGTAATTGCTGTAATGCGTGAGTCACCCATACTCCAGGAATTCCATATCCCCAGGTCACTCGTGAGTAAGTCGGTCTCCTCCCGGGCCAAGGCTTCGCCACCTTCCCAGTTGCTCGGGCCCCAAACCCAGGAACCACCCTTCGTTCCCTTCTCTTCCTGGCCCCGACACCCTACCCGTCGCAATCCCGCCGACTCTGTCTTCGGAACGCCTTCCCCGTCGGTCCGCTTTTCTCCACATCCACGACCACCGCCTCGACCCCCGCCAACGCCTCACCCCCGACCCGCCCTCACTTCTGAACGGGGCCCTGTTTCCACTCTCGCCCCCCAGGACCGTCACTCGATTCGTTTCCACACAGTAGCGACAGTCCTTAAAAAAAAAATAAAGCAGCTGTAAACCAGATCACGTCCGTCTGCTACTTAAAACCCTTTCGTGCACTTAGAATAGAACGCAAGTCCTTCCTCGGGCTGGGACCCCACTTCCGGCCCACAGTGGGTACCTCCTGGCCACCTACTCCTGGACCCCCACGTTCCTGCCCTGTGGGCCTCTGCCTGGAACGCCCATGCCCTGGCGCTGGCGCGGCTGGCTCCCCTCGTCACTCAGGTCTCGCCTTCCAGCCGCCTTCCCAGCGGGCCCTCCCGGGACCCCAGCCATCCTTCCCAGCGGGCCCTCCCGGGACCCCGGCCATCCTTCGCTGCGGCCCTCCCGGGACCCCGGCCGTCCTTCGCTGCGGTCGTCTCCGTCCCTCTCGCTCCCGTCCGACGGTTCTTGGGCGTCGCTTCACGCATTCGGCAAACACTGATCCATCGCTTCTGTGCCAGCCAGACTAGGGGCGTGTTTATTCTCCCTCAATGACACGTGTGTCCCCTCTGCATAACCAAAAGCTCATGAAGACGAGGCCTGGAGCGTGGCCTGGCATGGAGGAGGCATTCGGCCTCTGCCTGGAACGCCCATGCCCTGGCGCTGGCGCGGCTGGCTCCCCTCGTCACTCAGGTCTCGCCTTCCAGCCGCCTTCCCAGCGGGCCCTCCCGGGACCCCGGCCGTCCTTCGCTGCGGCCCTCCCGGGATCCCGGCCGTCCTTCGCTGCGGCCGTCTCCGTCCCTCTCGCTCCCGTCCGATGGTTCTTGGGTGTCGCCTCACGCATTCGGCAAACACTGATCCATCGCTTCTGTGCCAGCCAGACTAGGGGCGTGTTTATTCTCCCTCAATGACACGTGTGTCCCCTCTGCATAACCAAAAGCTCACGAAGACGAGGCCTGGAGCGTGGCCTGGCATGGAGGAGGCATTCGATAAATATTTGATTTGCAGAATAAATATGTACACACGGTAATGTGACCTCGGGAAATCTGAAATGGCCGATACAAATTCTTACTAAGGTCTCATGGTTTTGAGGCAGCCAATATTCCAAAGTGGCCCCAGTGCCGGGATAATCAGACCCTGTCTGTATTTTTCCAGGCCAGCAGAGGGTGACCCCCTCCCTGTCTGTGCATCCAACCAGCACTTAGTAAGGGCCTACTATCTGTAGGCCTATGCCTGGTGTCGATCTCGGCCCTGTCCCAGCTCACTCAGCTGCTGGCACTCAGCAGCCAGCCAGGGACAGACCAACAGGCTACCTGTCCTACAGCTGATGACCAACTGGCCCTCTCTTGAGGTCACCCACAGTGCAACCAAGTGGCAGGTCTCCTACCACACCTGCAACTCCCTTCTGTCCGGGTTTCCCAGATATCCAGGGCTTCGGCAGCGTGCCGGCCTCACTCCTCCAGGCCCACTTCCCAGGCGGTGTGTGTGCCTGTTTCTCCCTGCCCTGTGCCCGGCTTGATTCCAACATCATTGTCCTTCACTGACAAGCCATCCGGCTCCCTGGCCAAGAACATGGGCTATGGGTCCAGCCAGGTGAGGCCGCATCGCATCGGCTCTGGCACTCACCAGCTCTGTAACCTTGGACAGGTCACTGCACCTCTTGGAACCTCGGTTTCCTTCTCCGATGAATGGAGACGGTAAAAGCACTGGCCTTTGGGGCTGCTCGGGCAGTGGCCCCAGGGCTCCCGCTCCTCCCTGCTCTGTGGGCCCATGGGGTGTCACCAGCACCAGATCAAGGGACACGTGGAGAAACGGGAAACAGCTCTTTTTGACATTTCTATGGCTAATCTTATTAGCAGAAGGTAATAGCAAAAGAAGGGTGCGATTCAGCACGACAAACAGAGGCAACGCAAACGACGGGATCCAGCCTTCATCGTGAAGGCAGGCAGAAGGGGGAGGCACACCTGTAAACAGGTGTGCTGCGCGCTGCGTAGGGACAGGCGCGGCGAGTGTCAGGGATACAGTGCGGCCGTCGGTTCCACTGGGCTGCGGAGACTTGGATGAAGGGACGAGACGACAAGTCTGGCCCCTCCACTCTCCAAATGCTCTGTGCAAACCACTGTCCTTGCACTAGCGGGACAGGTAGGTGGCTTACAAGACTCCCTATGGCTCTCACCAACTACACAGCTTGTAGGGGTCATTCCCAGTCCCAGTATCGCTGACAGGAAGCTCTGTGCACCTCGAGACTCATAATTCATTCCTCCGGGTGTGCACACAGGTCCCAGCAGTCCAAGAAACAATCACAGCATCTAAATGATGGAAAATTCATTTGCAAAAGAATCTCCATGCAACTTCTGAAAAAAGCCTTCCAGCTCAGACGGATCCAGGGGATCACAGGGCTGGCAGCGGCCGCAGAGACCAGGGGCTTCCAAACTTGCTTTTGACCTCCAAGGCCATTGCTCAACTGCAATTCACCCAGAAGCCCAGTGCGTGAAGTCGATGCAAAGCTGCCCTGGCAGAAACAGCACCCAGGCTGTCTGCGCAGCACCCTCTCTCCTCTCTCCCCTCTCCCAGCCCCCAGTGACCCCCAAAGCAGCTCCGAGGGACCCCTGGGACTCCAGAAACACTGATGGAAAGCTGCTAATCTAGGCCGACCTCTGAGCTGACACGGAAAACGAGTCCCGCAGAAGTCACGCTCTGAACTGCGCCTGGACACAAACTCAGTTTTCTGACTTCAGACTAACACTTCTCATTCCGCTTTGCTGGGGCTAGATCTATGGAAAACTGCACTTTAAAGAAACAAGGCTCAAATTTGATCACCTACAGCATAATCCCTAAGTAGTTTAAAAGCCCCTGAACTAGCCAAGTGTGAAACAGAGCCCAGCCCCACGGGCTGGCAGAAAAAAGTTCGGAAATGAGTTGCAGAAGCACAGCTGACGACTCCATATAGTTTCCTCCAGTTCTGTGGGACATAAACAGGTCTTGAAAGGCTTGGGCTGTGTGGCTGTGCGAGACCCTGGCCCAGGCGGGCCAGGAGGTGAATGCTAATGAGCTGTGGAAATAGCAATTACTCTCTGCACGTCAGGCGCCGTGCCAAGCTCAGGAGGAGAAAGAGGTCTGAGATATTTTTAAAGTATTTTTACAGCAGAAAAACTTTCCTACAGACTCAATTATATAACTATCAGACTCC